TATGATGTGAAGTGATGTGAAGTGATGTGATGTGATGTGATGTGAAGTGATGTGATGTGATGTGATGTGATGTGAAGTGATGTGATGTGAAGTGATGTGAAGTTATGTGAAGTCATGTGATGTGATGTGATGTGATGTCAAGTGATGTGATGTGATATGAAGTGATGTGATGTGACGTGATGTGACTTGATGTGACGTGACGTGACGTGACGTGATGTGAAGTGATGTGAAGTGATGTGAAGTGATGTGATACGAAGTGCTGTGATGTGAAGTGATGTGATGTGAAGCGGTGTGAAGTGATGTGATGTGAAGTGAAGTGATGCGATACGAAGTGCTGTGATGTGAAGTGATGTGATGTGAAGTGGTGTGAAGTGATGTGATGTGAAGTGATGTGATGTGATGTGGAGTGATGCGATACGAAGTGCTGTGATGTGAAGTGATATGATGTGAAGTGGCGTGAAGTGATGTGATGTGAAGTGAAGTGATGTGAAGTGATGTGAAGTGATGTGAAGTGATGTGATGTGAAATGAAGTGAAGTGAACTGATGTGATGTGATGTGATGTGAAGTGATGTGATGTGATGTCTTCCAAGATTTTATCAACTTAATAAATGTAGTAAACATAAATGTAGTAGTAGTGGTAGTAGTAGATGTGATGTGATGTGATGTGATGTGAAGTGACGTGATGTTAAGTGATGTGATGTGATGTGATGAGATGTAGTGTTATGTAATATGAGCTAATATGTATGCAATGATTTCATAACCAGTAAAAAGTTTGTACGAGAGTCTATGTTTTCAAGGCAATGGCAAAATGATTGTAGTCTTCAGGTGTACAAGAGAAAGCATGAAAAAATTTAGGAAACCCGCATACAAATTTTAGGCATCGGGCAAAAAATACAACCGGAGAAACTCACAACCCACAATAATTTCTAGAAGCAACCACCATTGCCCCTCCCCATGTAAACAAAATATATTTGCTCGCTGCAATTTCAAGGGCTGCTTCCTCAAAGTCCCTTGGATCCACAAACACGATGAACGGATCGATAGAAAATTCTACGATGCTAAATTCAGCTGCAGCCGAATGTATTTCTTTCACTATCGAGGATCGCGTATCTACAAAGGCTATCAAAGCAACTTGTTACACCGTGCTGATGTTGCTTTCTCTTCTTGGAAACGCGGCGGTCATCGCTATTGTTGCAAAAAACAGGCACATGCGAACGACAACGAACTACTTAATCGCAAACATGGCCGTGTCAGATTTACTGCTTTCTACATTTGCAGTGCCGCGAGAAATTGGGGAAATCTTCATCGGTTTCCGTGGATGGTTGATCGATGGTCTAGCTGGTGCAGTCCTTTGCAAAGTTGTTTACTTCTTCCAAGACATCTCCACTGCAGTCTCGATACAAAGCATCGTTGTTATCACATTGGATAGGTACACTGGAGTTGTTCAACCCTTTCGTGAACCTATCGTGACTCCGAAACGACGCAAATTTGTTATTGCACTGATATGGCTAATATCAATGGGTCTACACGGCATATATTTCTACATGGCGCGTCATCAGCGAGTCAATGGAATCAGTATTTGTTCCTTCAGCTTTGAGCCAGCATTCGACAACTTACAGTCTCTAAGAATCAACTTTATTATTTTATCAGTCTTTTTGATAGCTATTCCTTTATCAGTTATAGCTGTTCTTTATTCTCTCATATTGAGGGATTTAAAAAGAAAGAAACCTTTTTGGCAAAAATCTTCTTCTTTACTAGTGAAGAACCGACGAAAAGAGGATACTAAGATTGTTAGGAACGTTCTAGCAATCATAATATTATTTGTTTTTTGCATTTTACCTATAGATATTGTCGGGTTTTTATTTTTCTTCGTGTGGTACGAGGAAATTCCTTGTGGTATGGACCAATTGAGTTTCGCAGCTAAGTTCATATTTTACTCCAACGCATCACTTAACCCGTACATTTATTTCCTCCTGAATGACAGATATCGCCAAGGGTTGCGAAATATTTTTAATCACGGCAAAGCTAAAGAATGCTTCCCTCGCGAGGAGGAGATAAGTGACATTGAAATGAATGCTGTGTAATTTATGAAGTTTTTTCATAGCTCATTGTGAGTAGCGTTTCGTCAATATACACTGTACTGTCATTTGATAATAAAACTGACTACATGGTTTTCAAGAAACATTATGATTGTTTTATATCCTTGTCGACGGTCATTTTCTGGCTATACGCACTTCAAATGTTTTTCGCTGGGCGCGCATTGATTAGTCAAATATGGTGCCATTAGCAAAATTCTAAACCAGCCCGAATTTCAGCCGCCACCTTTCCACTGTAGCTTTTTCTAAAAGTAAGCAAACGGCCAGAGGAGATGGCTGAAATTTAGGTTTATCAGTTTTAAGGGCTATAGAAAACAATTAACTTTCCATCGCTACTCTTTTCAGCTCTTTTCTCGGTTCCACATTCTATACATCACAAAGATCAATTTCAATGCAAATTGTTATCGAGAAAACGCGTTCTGAAAAATGTTACTTCCCCACGGAAGTTACATTTTCAAAACACGAAAACAAATTATCTCGTTTTCCAGCTGTAAGACTTGGTAAAACGAGTTAAATTGATGTGAAGGAAAATCTACGTTTGCTCTTGTGAATTCAATTGACTGCTGCAAGTTTTAATTTTTAAATATACACCTTCGTTTTTTTGCCAAGAGCTCGGTTGCTGAACTTATACCGAACACTATACTGTTCGAGGTAAAATTGTTTTTCTTCTTGCTATAAAATGTATATCTTAGTTGTTGATTACTCAGTTTGCATCCGTGCAAGCGATGCTGAGGTCAATTTATAATTATAAATGATGGGCCGAGAAACCAGAAACTGCAAGGGACCGCATAAGATAAACGCTGCCAACGTAGGATCTACATGAGATCTGATCAGCCAAAAAAAATGTATGAAGACAAACAATAGATTGCAAGGCTGATACTACGTGAAAAACGTTTCGAGACACCAACATGACCAACATGACAAGAATCGATGAAGTAGGATCGCAACAGTGGACAGCTGTTTCGCCCTTCTTGGGGTTCGTCAGCACTGTGTAACGAAGATATGTAGTGTCTAGACTTTGAGCAGTGTCATAGGGGTAGTAAATGATTGAAAATTGCTTGAGTGCAGATGACAATGGGGCACGACTCAAAGACAATTGAGTTCGAAACCCAGGCTTACTGACTAACATTATTAGGTTTGTGCCGGGTTTTGAAAATAAGTATGATAAATTTCATAGCTTGAAAGTGTTTTCACATATAAACAGCACTTCCAGAGGCGTCAACGACAGGAAGCCATTTCCTGGGTGGCTAGAGAACTGAATAATTGTTTCTTTGTTTTCAAGGTGTGATAAATTGCAGAGCAGAGGAGAGTGCAACACGTTTAATGTCTTTTATATTAAATAGCCTCGCTACAAACGCAAAACGGATTTCCTGTCATTTCTCTTTCGCCGCAGGAAAGCAATTTTTATTTCATAAAGAGCACAATTTACTTATCTGGGTTTTTCCGAGGGGAAAAAATTGTGTGCCGACGTTTCTGCGTAATTCTGCTCTGCGTCCTTTATGGTGGTAATTTCTTTTGTTAGTTCTGCACTACTTTCGTGTGTTTTTCGTCGTGGCTTACTTATTGTCGATCTCGTGATTTATGTTTTAGATAATATGCCGTCGACATATGTCCCCATTTTCTCCCACGTAGACTTAGGGTGCTTTTCCTCTTTGCCTCCAACTGAAAGGCATTCCTTTTCGTAAATCAGTTTACAATGTTTGACAGCAAGACACTTTTGTGTTATTCTTTAAACTCAATTCCAGCTCAAACTACTTGCGTAAATGCGTCTAAAAGCTGCATAAAACATTGCTACCTGTCTTGTTAACCGGAAACTTACTGATGAATAACAAATTAGAAAGGCACTGTGAGATCCGATGGGTTTTCTTGAAAACGTTAATTAATTCCTTCTATGTACGTACCTCAGGGTTTTACCTACCCTGCGAGCAGTTAAACACCATAGAAATCGTAGACCATATATCAAATTAATGCTAATAAAATTAATAAGCCACACAGACAGCTAATATTTTTCTATTCTGATGAATGCAGCAAGACTGAGCAAGTTTCCCAGACTTCACTGCGCGAACATCTCAATCTCGTTCCCATTGTCTTTCCAAGATGGGGGACACGGCGAACGGGGTGTCCGTCATCTTGGAAAGACTATGGGAATCACGTAAGCTGAAAAGCGATTTTTAGAAATATAATTTTATCGGAGACGTAATGCGGCCCCTTCTTTGCGTTTCCGAGGTGTCTGTGAAGAGTATTTAGATGAAGTTTTAAACGACTAGTAGATTTGTACTAATACAATTAGATTATTCGCTCAGAAATGTCAAGCTCATAATCTAATTCCTTAATATAATGAAACCAAAAGTTTCAATGACGTCATCTTTGCGTCTGATCGTAAGTGAGAAACAATCAAAACGCGAGAATAATTCGATAGACATATTACAATTTTGATACATAATGTAACCACCAATTTTGGCGGGGAACGGTCAAATAAGTTGGTGCCGCTGCCGATTAATCCCCGAGGAGTCTCCGAAGAGTTATCGAAAAGTTTGAGCTTTGGTAAGAACAACTAAGCGCATGTTTCCTTGCAAAATCAAAGAATCATACCACTGAGGTCTTACTCTCGAAACTTGCGGGTATGACCTCGATGGTCCTTCACATTCTTTCACCCGCAGTTTAGATGAATGTTTCATGTCCACTCGTTCCTTTTAAGAGGACAAATACCATCACCACAACTTAAACAGCTCAGTTCTTCAATGAACGGAAGACACAAGCAGAGTTCGATTGTGACTGTATTTCCGGTCTGGTTAAGGGATGTATGAGCAACAACAATAATAAATATATTAGATAGAGCTACTATGGTATACCGTATTTACAATTGTAAAATATTGTGATCGGCCTAATCAAAAAAATTATCATTCTTTTTTTTTTCTAGTTGTAGTCTAGTATTCCTCGCCCTGAAATTTAATTACCAACAAACTGTACAAGAACTAAGTTAAAGCGCTTGAGTTAAACGTCAACCTTGAGCTACCATGACTGTAATACCCAGGTTTCTGCAACTTTGTGGTTACCATAGCAACGCGCAAGACTAACGTAATATACCGAGGGGTCTTTTTCGGGTCGTGAGAGTTTACAGACCCATTCGAAAATGGTGCCTTCCTACGTCACGAATTACGCCTGAGAAGACTGTCTAAATTTTATGAGTCGTTCCCAACCTTCTAAATTTCAACCACGGCACTCCTGTGTTTTGTGGTTTTTTTTTTGGCTAATAAGTACTTCTTTGATGTTTTCCTTTCCCAAAAGCTGTTAATTTTAGGTTACTTTCTATTTAAAAGAGCTTTGATATACTGTTAAAAGGGCAGAGATTTTAATGCATTGATATGAACCATTTTTCGAATGGGTCTTTCTAACTGCAATCACTAAAGGAACTTCAATAAAAATATGGACAACCCACAAAGTTTTACTAGCAGTATGGACTACGAATACTAACAAATGACCTGCGAGGGCACCCACGAATCTGGCAGTTTAATTACACACTGCCTTCGGTAGACACACCAAACGACTGTATAACAAATAAAGCAATTCCCAATTTTAAGAGGCGTCTAAGTAACTTATCGAGGAAGATACATTTCACTGATTCACACGCCGTGTAAGCCACGTTATATAAAAAAAAAATCTTTCAATCTTGATTTCACAACGGTAATAAAATAAGTTCCCCTGAAGATAGTCTTGTTACGCTAGTCAGCCAGACGCTACTCATGGCGGATAAGGTAAAATACCACCAGTATACTATTTTTAAACTTTCCAGATAACGAATATTACAGTAAAACTGTCGCTGTAAAGATATTAACTAAGGGCGATATTAAATTGGTGGGGACTAAAATTTACATTCTTAATAAGCATGCTAGCCGTCTGAGAGGTTAAACTATCATTTAATATATTACGAGTTATGCCTTGATGTATTTAGTCAAGAGAGGATGAAGGCTAAGTTGGTCAGTCTTCCATAAAGGCCTTAGTTTTAGCTTCTCAAGTTATTTTTAGACCACTCCCAGCTTAGGAAATCCCAGGGGGGTCTAGAAATTGGCGAATCTGGGCGGGAATATTGCACGCGTGGACAGCTCACGCGGCTCTACACGCGTTTTCATCTCCCACAAAAACATCCACGTAAAGCGCGTGGTAACATTATCCGCGCGGAAGAACTGGGAACCATGTCCAAAAATAACTTGAGAGGGATTTACTCTCTTCGCTTACTCTTCATCTTCTCTTGATTAGGTCACTTTTTACAGTGTACAAAATTACCTTTAAATCTGTGGCAACCTATAATCAATAGCGTACTAAGATAGAAAAACCTTAAACACGAACTCATACAACAGAAAGGAACAAGGATGGATAGGCTTGGGGAAGATTGAGGTGGATTATCTATGGCGAACTTGAGAGCTTTCGCTGAACTGTTCAAGAAGTATTCTCCGCGATGTAGCTCCTTTAATATTCTTCAGAACACAGTGGCTACACTGGTTTTTATAATTCATTTATATAGAAAGGCAACGACAAGGCAAAGTCACACAGTATTAAACGGAAATCGAGAAAACGGCGAGAAACCGTACTATTGGTTCAAAGGCTTTCAAGGAATATATTCGGCTTCTGGAATAACTATTTTGAAGTATACTTTACAACTTTTATCCAACTTGAATTGAAAGTGGCGCGTCGCTCAGGCTTGATAAGAAGTAATTCAATTTTTTCTATTGTCTACCTAATCAATTGGTTTATCGATGATGAATTTTCGTAGAAAAAATACAATAATGCGACTATGTATTCCCCCTCTAAAGATAAATATAAAATATGGTCCCCTCCTAAGTTTCAATAATTCCCATGACCTCTAACTCCCCTTGCCCTCATAAGGTCGCGTAGACCGAGATGGAGCTGGTGGTCAGCATCTCGCAAATGAAGAAATGATTCGACGAAGCCACTGGACTGTGAATGTCCAGTTCTCAGTGGCTGATACCCTACTACACCTTGAAGCAGTTCGTAGCTTTTGAAGATAAGCCGATTGAATTCCGATTGAGTACCGATTGATTTCGACCATTTTCCTGTGGAGTCACGAAGACGATTGAGACGCGATGCGACCACTTTTAATGTCACGTGACCAGCTGCTGTTTGTCCTCTTCGTCCTTTTGCCGCGCCTGTCGTTCCTTCTCCAGTTCAACCCAGCGGTTTTTATTGGATTCTGCGCCGAAAAGGAGAGGACTTATCTTTGGGTTAAATGTAGCCAAGCACTGAAAAAAAGGTAAAAGTAACGCTGCTTCATTTAGTTACAGTAAACAAGCAAAGCCGGAGAACTTATCAAAAATTTCTTAATTTTCTTTCTTTCTTAAATTTCTTCATTTTTTTAAAGCAAAATTTCTTTGTAAAAGCACACACACGCAGAACCTTGCAGTTTTACGTGAATATGTCAAGCTGGTGTCACGCCAGTTGAGTTCGCATAAGTGTCTGGTCTAACATGTTAGTCTTCAGGGCCCGTTTCTCGAAAGCCCCGGAAACTTTTCGGGCCCGTAAAGCCATTTTCAGTCCATCTGTATCTTAAAACGGAGAAGTGTATACGCCTGAAACTTCTTGTGTGAAGGGAACTTCTCTTCATGTTAAGAATATGTGAATAAACAGCTCTGTAATCGTAAGGTTCGAGCTTTTGCTATGGCTTTACGGGCCCGAAAAGTTTCCGGGGCTTTCGAGAAACGGGCCCCTGGTCGGTTTAGTCTGCTGGACGAGAGGACGAAGCACTGGAGGGTGGCTGCAAGGTGTCACGCCACGTTGAAGGGGCCTGCGTCCAATCCTATCATTCGAAGTAGTATTCGTTTATTGGCAAAATGTCAGGTTACTATGTGATTTTGAGCACACCACCTTATCACACCAACTGACCAAACCAGGATTCCTCTCAGCCATGTCGAAGTCAATTACGTTTCCATCTGCTCCACCTCCGATCATATTCACAACTCTCTGGACTAAATGAGTTCTTAACAATACTTTCCAATATTTCTATCCATTGAGAAGTTCCAAGTGAAAATAGCGCGACCTACTGGCCCCTTGCTCAATACAGTTTCGAAGATAATCAAAATCATGATCATAAGAAAATCAAGAATTCTTTGTTCATACCTTGAATACGGGAATTCCTGTTGTTTCAAAAAACTGTACTTGGAGGGCAGGCAGTTCGTCAACTTTCTGTCTGTCCATAAGAGCCTGCAACACAAATGACTCGTTATATCACAAGAAGTTCAAAATGTTACGTACTGTTTGCTACCAGGGGCTAACTACACTATTTGAACACACGTGTTTAGCTTCTTCTAGTTCAAGCTTGTCTCGATAACAATGTAAAGTACATGCGATGAATGGATGCAATCAAGGCCATGAGCGACCGAGCGACCGACCGAACGATTGAACGAACGAATGAACAAACGAGCCAGCCAGATTCAAGTGAACATGGATAGTCGACGTCAGGACTGCAGTGAAGATTACAACAGAATGACAGTCCAACCGTCTGGCGGTCTGCCCCATAAACTAACACATATTAGCTTGCTAAACGATCCGTCGCGCTACTTTACGACCTCTACTTTGATCAATAAAGGATGGCTTAAATCTGAGAACAAAAATACTAAACAGCTGAAAGGTTGGGTTCAACATATTTTACCCACCGAGGGCTCCACATTTAGCGTGGTTCGCTCGAGATCTCCTTGTTGGAAGAACTCGCTTGTCACCAGATGGACAACCTGAGAAAATAATAATTCAATTTCACTATTTGATTAAGAACAAGGTGTGAATAATGAAGTAACTACAATAAGACCAGCCAAAGGCTTACCTCTTTCTGTATCTCCCATGGTTTTGTAGTTCCGTTGAGGTCACAGGCAGTCATCATCATCGCCCTAAAATTTTGAAGAATTTTTTCACGTTAAACGAATAAAATATTAATCTGTCTTGAAATTGGCAGCTCATCGGTACTGGCGCTCATCACGCGCAGCGCAGCGCGAGGTGACCGAACGCCCAGCGCGCATGCGTTCAAGTTCAATAATGTTTTATAACATAACTAAAGCAAAGCGCGCGCTCTGATTGGTTAATTTAGCGTCTACTATTTGCCCATGNCACGAGGCGATCGCCTCGTGCGACTCTTACGCTTCTTTCGTGCTTAGCGGCCTCCCGCGTGCATCCATAACTCAATAGTACACGCTATGGCGTTTACCATTTGTTAATTTGAACATGCAAAGAGAGAGTAACTGCTACGACTGATTTTTAGCAGAGGTCTCGATTCCTGGCGTTAACCAAAAGAATCGCGGCCTCTGGGAACGAAATTGTATTGTGAGAATGAGAAAATTCCTTTAGGCGCGATTATTTCGAAGTAAAATTGAATCTGTGCTTCAGTTGTAAAGAATCTTACTTGAGCATGTCTCTGTGATCCGGGATTCTAGTGTCCAGTTCTCCTCTCTCGACCAAAGGAAAGAAGGTTGATCGTTGCCTGAAGAGGAGAAGGCACGATATATCATTTACTAAAAAATGATACAGAAAGTATTGTAGTCCGTGCTAGTAGCCCAAAACAGCATCTAATGTCAGTCGAAAAGATACTGTTCCTAAAGGAGGCGTTTGTAATCCAAGTTCTAATCAGTACCGCTCTTGTTTTAAGTTGACGAGGAATTGCCTGAAAGGGCATGTTTTCCCCTTCACATCGTAAACGAAAATACAACGCGAGCTGAAGTTTTTTGTAAAACTTGGCAATTACTATGCTTGTAAGAAAACCGACTAAAACCTTGGGGAACAAAGAGAAACGGCTGCAAGGGAAGGAGACTGGTCAAGCTTAGCACCATCACGAAACACTATATCACGAAATCACATATATTTCGATCCGCTTACCTGAAATTCACAGCTAAATCCGTCGACAGAATCGAGTGCTTTATGTAACTTATAACTTGTCTGTACTCATCAGCGTTCAGTTTTTGGAAAATGTTATGGCCCTTTCAAAGAAAATTGCATAAGCAGTAGCATTAATTGTGATTCATCAGAGAAGAACTGCTGAGTAAACGCTGGAAACCGTTGTGAGCCACCTTAATATATCGTAGCATAGCTTTTTTAAAACCCGAGTTTTTCCAAAGTTGCGACTTTTGAAATATTATCCACCACTGAATATACTTTTACTCTAAGGTTTTCTAGAACTCCCTTATCACTTCAAAAGTAACCGAATCGAGACTCCTCGTTGGCCTGGAAATTGTCTTCTGTCGCACAGCTGTCTGCTGTGACAAACGTGAACCTTACTCCATATAAGAGTGTTAATGTATTTGTAGTGTAACACTTGCAGTACTGGTGACACACTTACCTCTGTGCTGAGAATAATCACAGCGTGATTAAAGTGATGGTGCTCTAGAGTGGAGGTCGTGTAAAGCTTGGCTAACGGCGAGTCCGTCCTGACAACAGCAAAGGAAAGAACAGTTAAATAAAACAACAGTTTCTTAGAGTTGAAGAGTGACCCTGAAAATGGGGCTGAAACATAAACCAAAGCCTGGACGCTGGACAACCGCGAGACAAACCCTGCTTTTTGCAATATTGCAAGGCCACAATCTCTGGGACAATCTCTTTCCGTCTTCTTTTGTGATCGCAACGTCGTGAGAGACTAAAGTAGTTCATGAAAGGAGTTCACTAGCGGCATTTTGAGTCATTTTGTCCACAAACAAAATTACCTATAAATTGAAGGAAACCTGAAAATAGTAGTTTACTAAGATAGAAAAAAAACACCAAAAAGATAACAATAACGTAAACCCATAAAGAAAAAGGATGGAGAAGATTAACACGGACTACAAAAGACGAACTTGAAAAATTTAGGTTAAACTTTTTAGGGTGCGCAAACCGTGACGTAGCTCTTTTATTAACGTTTGGTCTCATTCGAGGCATCTAGGACCATTTATAAGTAAAAAAACTAACTTGGTCTGAAAAGCGTTGTTTGTCCCCCTGTGGTCCAAGTCGTGACACAAACAGCCAACAATCAATCCAAGACATTCCAGATTACTCATAAACTTGTTCATGCCTCCAGTCTGTTGAAACGAAATAACATGTCATTTACTATGTTATCAAGTGTGTTCTAGTTTGTTATTGCTTGGTTTCTCATGCTAAGTAGTCTGGCCACTAATGAGAATTCGTATGTATGCCATGTTGTTTAGTTCCTTTGAGCCACAGCAAAAATAAGAGGACGATAGTCCTCTAAGCACTTTGTATCATTACAGTTTGCGTTCCAGAAAATAAAGCAACATGAGGTTCTGAGGAAATCGTGAAATCATACTTTGTAACGGAAACATACCGTGAGCATACAAAACATTGACTGTGCCACATTGAAGGCGTGTCTCCAGTTGTGGTAAATGACGTTCCTATAATTCTTCCGCACTGTTAATAGCCACCTACAAAGAACCTGAAATGAGAGAAATCACTCAAGATTCTGTTATTGCTGAAATTATATCTAGGAAAAGGCCAAACAAAAACAGGTTGGATAGTTGCGTTTTTCATGAAACTCTCAAACTCATTAATAATTCACCAAGTTTAAACAAAAGAAATCGTGCCCGTGACGGTGTTTGATATCTGATCTTAACTAGCATAGATTTTTTACGATTTTATTTCTCTGTTTTCTCCTTAGTTTAAGTTTCGATTGGAAGATATGTCAAATACTCAAGACAGTGTTTGATCACATTTCCAAACACCTCGAAGTTCGTCAAAAATACTCCGCTACGCATCGTATTTCAGCTCTCTTCTCGGTGCGAGTGTTTGGAAATGTGATCAAACACCGTCTTTCGTGTTTGATATATAACGGGACTGACTTTAGCTCGCAAAACGCAGACGAATTTTCGCCTTTTGTGTCAGACCAACTACAAAATTACACACCACTAATAGATAGAGGTCTGAGAATTATAAGAACAACAAGCAAACTGGAAAGATCTTCCACGGAAGAAAATCATTACAGTGAAATTCTCTGGCTCAAATTTCAGACGTTGTCGCAGTTTGCCTAGAAACTGGCGTCCGAAGGGGGACGTCTGCTCACTTGGGCTATGGACAACTTAATTATACTAGAAGAAACTTTTACCTCATAGTCTATGTGAAATTCGTCAATGAAGCCACAATCGATAAACATCCTAAGTGAAGCTTGAAGCATCTGGTCTGGCTCCAGTGAGAAATCATCAAACTGAAAACTATCCACCTTGAATTCTTCAGCTTTAGGTACAGGCGTGTTCTAAACAAAAAAAAAAACAGAAAGGATACATCAGCCAGTTGTCTGGAAATAGAAATACTACCATTAAAACAAATGGTTGCAAATTCTACTGTTTGTTTCGATAATAGTCAAATTTGGGACAATGTTAATGATCTTCCTTATTTTCTTCATTTCCATCACTTTCTTTCAAGAAAAGTCACTATGAGAAAATGAACAGAATGCCATGGAGCTATATTTTGATAGAAGACCTTCCGAAAATATCAGCCTTTGGTAAATACGGTCATAATGTTTGATTTCGTACTAACTGCCTGTTGCACGTTCTTTCCATTTCTGAAAATCGTATTTCTCTAACATGGACGGCTTCTGGTTTTCTGATTAGATGTGGATAAAGAAATAAATATATATATAAAAAAATAAACACTACAAGGCGCTTAAAATAGATATATAAAAGAAGGTTTTTTGGGAGCGCTGAAATGTCAGATAAGTAAACGACGTTTTTCGAACCCTGGACAAGGCAGTAGTGCCGGAACGTTGACTACTTTGTCTGAAATTTTAGCGCTCCAAAAAGCTTACTTTATCTACAATGGAACCGTTATTCCGGTCACCAACGGGCCTTGAAAATTTGGCCATATTAACGGGGTGACTGTCATAACGGGGTAGGGTCACACCTCATGAACGGTCTAAATTGAGTGACGTCTTAACAAATATATCAGAATTCTACTTCTACACAACTGTTCTTTAAAAAAAATGAAACTTGAATCAGTGTGTATAATATTAACAATGGAAAGATGAACAATTAGCTGGTTTGAGTGGCCGTATTAATAGACTGTTCACAGTCCCCTATTTTTCCTTGAGATCGTAGATGTCGATCGTTGAGCTCGACGGGCCGCCATCTTGATCTCTTGATGCGAGCGAAACTGGAGAGAGTAGAAAATGCCCGTGGGTAGGGGTGGTGGAGGGCACGGCTGGCACCCCACGCTATTAACCCCACCGCCACTACCCACGGGCATTTTGTACTCTCCCAAGTTTCGCTCGCATCAGGAGACCAAGATGGCGGCCCATCGAACTCAACGATCGACATCTACGATCTCACGGAAAAATAGGGGACTGTGAACAGTCTACCGTATTAACGGGGTTAAAATTGTAAAGGATTATGCAGGTTGGGATTTCAGACTGTGGCCGTTGGCCGTATTATCGGGGTGGCCGCATTAAGGGGGTTTTCCTATACTAAAATGTATCGTCGTTTCGCCGGGCCAAAAAAGTGGCCGTATTAACGAGATGGCCGTAATAACGAGATGACCATATTAACGAGGTGACAGCAAGGCGGGGTTCCACTGTATCTAGTTTACGCAAATGCACTTGTCTAGCGATTTTGTTAACCTTCAGTCTTTCAATTTCTCCTCTTCTCGCAGCCGCATGGTATGACAGCACCTTGAAAAACACAAGACAAATTAAAGTGGCAATGCAACTTCGCCTGGTGCACAGACCAAATATAACTCTACGAAATTCATGTGCACGTTTTCTTTTAAAATTCCATTAATTTCCTTGAACTTTCAGTGGCTACCTACGGCTCAGTTGGAGAAACCGTCCACAAAGATCATTCAGGAATGTAGCTACGGTAAAGTCTCCATACGAGCCAGCTGGCCCATGAGGCGTGAGCTTATCCCGGATTCAGTACCACGAAGTGACTAGGAGTATTTCTTCCCCCTCTCCCCCTTGGATGGGATGCTGGTCCATTGCAGGGTTACCCCCAGCATTCAATTCGCTGGTACACATTTATACACCTGGGTGGAGAGAGGCACTGTGAGAGTAAAGTGTCTTGCCCAAGAACACAACACAATGTCCTCGGCCAGGGCTTGGACCCAGAACATTTGATATGGAAGCGAGTGCACTAACCACGAGGAATGTAGCTAAGAGCAACCTGAATTAAGCTGAAAATTTAGGAAGGCTCATAAACCAAGCTCAGCTGACTTTTTTGGCACGTGTATCACCAGTCTTTGTTTTCTCGTAAAATTTCAGTAAGTGATAAGCTCTCTTTCAGCTGTTGAAATTAGCCCAGTAGGCGGGCTTCAGCTACATCCTTGATCATTTTTTCCCTTGAATTATATAGCTTTATGAGTTACCTCAATTGCTACTTGTTGCTTGGCTTTGGCTTTCGCCATTTGGTCGTAAATCATTGTGTTGTGAATACCTAGGCCACAAAAAATGGCAAATGCCTAAAGGGATAAAAAAAATTGGCATTAAGTTCAGGTCTCCAAAGCAACTTACTAGTCACTTGAGAGCTTAAGCAATGACGACGGCGACCCCGAGGACAGCACCAAGTAAAACATGAATTTTGCAATTGTCTAGATCTGATCAGCGTGCCTGTTAGTCTCAGAACTTGCTTAAGCTAAATATGTAATGCCAGCGTGCAATTCCAAATGAAAATTCGAAAAATTAGATGCAGTAGTTCGCGTTCTCCAAAATATGCAGAACTTAGACATTTTACGTTGCAAGGGAGCACAAGCAATGACAACGCCTTGTAAAAAAATTAATTTATATGTTGTCTATATATATATTTGAAGTAAATCTTTCATACCTCAAACAGTGTTTCATCACTCTCGTCAAATGGTTTGTTGTTCAGTTTGCTAATCAATTGAGCTACTCCTGCAACAGAAAGGCGTACAAAATCAATATCATATATAAAATCAGTTTTACTATCCCATTAGGCCCACAGGTCATAATACTGATAAAAGCAAGGTTCCAATAGATAATCAACACTCAACAAAACTCGGCACACATACCTAATTAGGTAAGTATCCACCTGCAATTATTCTTTAAACACGTCCAGCCTATCATGTATATTTGGAGTGTTAAGGGTATTTGTTAGGGGAAGGGGAGGGGAGGGGATATGTAACTTATCAGGATAGCATGTGGCATGTTAGTGAGCCTGTACACCCCTTAAGTAAACAAATTGTTCAATAAACTTACTTACCAATGATCTCAAACTTGTTGTTTCTAATTGGCATGCACAGTATTGGACGACGAGCATCTACACCATTGTCAGTGCTCATGGAAAGCTGTTCAAATTAAAACATTGCAAATTATTGTCAGCAGATATTAAATAGGAAGAGTGGTAATAGACTACCTGGGTGTACCTCCAGGCCATGTATGCATGCCTTTGGAATTGGGTAAAACGGATTTAGCCTCATCAAAAGTGTGAATTTGTATAACGAAAGGCTAAACGAGAGATTAGTTGAAATGTGGCATAAATGATTGAGATGTTGGTTTTAACTACAAGACATAGTATTGGTATACTGCCCACTTAAAATTTATGCAGTTAAATGCTAGCGGATGAACTTAGTGCCTACATCTTAAGTTCGCAAGACTCTCAAATATACTTGTGCCATAGGTCTTGAGTTCCCATCCTCCCCCGCCCATTCCCTTTATTCTCCTCCACTATTCTGATATTGTAGTCAGTGTCGACCGGTGTCTGTATACCAAGAGGCCTTGAAAGCAGATTTTCACATATTATTACTGGTATTTTTCAACTGGGTTTTGAAAACAAGCAAGAATCAGGATTTAGCGTATATTTGCAAATTGCCTTTAAACAATACATTCACTCAGCTGGTTATAATTCAAAATATTACTGTGAAGAAACTTACTATTCTCTTCAGCCTCTGATCTTGTGCAGCATCAGGAACATTGAGAGTCTAAAATAAGGGTGGAAAGTTTTAATCACAAATAAATAAATTACTGGACCATATAATAGATAGACCTATTTTTTTAAATTTTACCTTTCCAGTCGAAGCAACTAGTTTAGCTATTCTCGTAGTGAAAGAACCATCATCTCTTCCTTCACTGTAACTGAAATTTAACGGAAGCTGAATCAGCTGATATAACTGGAAGCTGTTTGGCCAAATACAAGTTCAACACACACAGCTTACCAAACTCCAGAAAAGAAGTACAACAACAACAGTGGCATGACAGGTACAGGCTAATTAGTGCAATTTTATGTGCTAAATGATTATCAACTTACTGATACAGGTAGTTTGAAAAGAAAGGAACAAAAAAATTAAAACTACTTACAGTAGAACATACTTACATAGTACTATTACTATTCCGGCTTCCAGACACTCGCAGGTTGAACACTTTAGTTATTCTTAAATCCTGCAAGAAAGGAAACTTTATTAATTCCACACTGTAGGCAATTGGCTTACTACATTTTATGTAAAACAAGCAATGATTGGATCAACACAGCAGCCAGGACCTGATATTCTGCCAAAACCTAAGAACTAACAACAAAAGATACATAAAGCATTACTCTATTAAACAGAGCATGAGCTCGAGATTTCTATTTGCGTGACAGTTGAGGAGGGCGCAGCCCAAGTCAACTTTCATGCGATAGAAATGGAGAGCAAATAATCTAATTTTTTTTGTATAAATCGACTAGTCGTCCAAAACTTCATCTAAATCCTCTTCACAGACACTTCAAAAATGCCAAAGAAGCAGCCGTCATTTCGTTAACAAGGGCACACTGCTACACTACTCACTATTTATCACAGAATAGATAGTGAATAGCGCAGCCAATTAGAGAACGGCATTTGTGATAGAATGCTAGTAGATTTATACTAAAGGAGGATTGCAAGGACACCATGGTTTAAGCTCAGTTATCTCCTAAGTTGTCTATGTGTAATTTTTGCTTGGTAAAAGTCACTTCATGTAAAATCTCAACCAGCATTTTTAAGTGATACACAATGTGCAGTACTACTGTAAATCCTTGAATTAGCACCCCCCTCGAATAAGCACCCCCCTTCGAATAAGCGCCTCTCCTATCGGCTGAAATTTAAAATAGGCATACCCTCCCCTCCCCCCCATTTTGTGGATGAGTAAATTATGAGACAACAAAGGATGTATAGTTTTTGTCGTGTAGTATTAGATTTGTACACTGTTTCAGTTTGTTAATACGTTAAGTGATCACGTTGAACACGTTAAGTACTAACGGTGCCACGATTTAAACTTTAGGATCAGCTTTTTAGGTCAATAAACAACTTATGTTGGTGTTTATGCGCGGCTGATGTATTAAAAAAATGATCATGTCAGGCCACGATTTGGGAAAAATTAAATAAGTGCCCCCTCGAACAAGCACCCCCCGTCTTCTCTTAAATTTGAAATAAGCACCCCAGGCGCTAATTTGAGGATTTATGGTACATCTCCTTATTTAAAGTACTGAGAGAATTAATTTTCCGCAATCCCGCAACTCACTCCTAAGGGCAGGAACAAACCACAGGCAAAGGTCATAGGTCACAGATTACAGTCAGGTTAGACTGAATAGCAATCTGATTAACCTGTGAATAATGCTCAGGTCAACCTGAATAAATGCTCAGGTGACCTGTGACCTGTGACCTGCATTTTGCACCTGTCAGCAAGCACTATGGTTACACCATGGAACAAAGGGAAATAACAAATATTGATCACGGTTAATTTTTTAAGCTGAGGTGGTTTCCCACCTGTGCTCTATCCTCTGCTAGACTGTTACCAAGAACTGGGTGCATCAACAGCAGAACAGAACATCTTTCACATTTTAACATTGACAAAGCCCGTCTCATGATTTTATGCACCACTTTATCCAGAGATGTCTGTTCTTCAAAGATGTCATGTACAAGCTCAAGCAAAGCCTAAAAAAGACAGAAAAAAACAAAAAAACCCACATTTGATTGCTGATCTTTGCAACATTTATACTAATGATTTTGTGCACAAACACCAGAGTCCATCCAAATACCTAACTTCTAAGGTAGGGTATGTAGACAGGGCTTAAGAGACTATTTTGTTAATAAAGTTCTTATTTATTGGCCTACTAAGTTGTTCGTGAAGTGTCAGGTTTTAACAAGCCAAAGTAACTTTACACTGTCTAGTCAGTTGGTGGTGCAGTGGGGTCAGGTAGTGGAGTGGGGAGGGAAGGGAAGTTCAATGCTCTCAACCATGAGATAACAACTAAGTGAGACTTTAAATTGTCAGAAACCCAACCAATTAATTTGAATCTGTCTTTTAGAAAACAAATTAATGCACTCCAAAAAGAAATGTATAACTCTTGGCTAGGATACTCCTATAACAGAAGTAATATATATGTGATGTGTATAATGGTGTACACTTCTAAATGCATATTGTCTGCAATTCCCATACATTGTTGCACTGGAGAAAGATGGTGTCCTGAGTCTTCCACTGGTAAATGTGGCTAGCAAGGTAATGTTATAAAACTGATTTGCTTAAAATTAATTTTTTAACCACTAACAGGAATGACTACTCACTCTATTTCTGTTAAATTCAATTGCTGAAAGTTCAAACAACTTGGCATTGGTGATACCTATTCCACAGAATGTCAGATACATTTCACAGACCTGAAAAGGGCAAAATTAATAATAAACAATGTTGAAGAGACTTAACATTACCGTGACAAGTTGTGTTACTCATGCTAAATATTAAGTGTCATTTGAGACATATTTCTGTACTTTGAGCCATCATCTTGTCAGTTGTGTCAAGATCATGTTGTGTAATCATAGAAGAGCAATCAACTGTTACTGAAAAGTCTGTAGAACCAGTTACAACAAACAAATTTTAAAATATTAAATACTATATAAATAAATTTATCTATGCAACATTTAACAATATCATCTCAAATCAACCAGAAAAATTAAAAAAGTACTTTATTCTGGATCATCATATAGCAGTCTATTTACCAAGAAATACAAGCACTAATAAAAAGGTGGAGTTCTTTGGCAAGAAATATCTAATGTTAGTAAATATAAAATGATTAGTGGAGAGGTACAAGCTTTCATGTGCAAAGATAAAAAGCATATCAGGTGGTGTTGCAGAGGCGGATCCAGGATTTTTCGTAAGAGGGGTGCACCACTAAGGAATGGCATAACTGACTGGTGAGATAAACAAATCTTAAAAGTGAATATGTTATCCCCTGCACCCTCTCCCTAGATCCGTCCCTGTGTTGAATGTAAGAGGAGCCAACCCCTACAATGGACCTTAGTTTGTGTTTAGTGGTGCCACAAAAACCTCATTTAGAACTTATCTAGTAGTCACCTCCTCATCCTCTTGAGTGAAAGGTACAGGACCAGGGATCTTGTTTATTATTTGGGCTACACCAACAACCTGCAAAAAAGTAATAATGATTACTTTAACAAAATTGATATTAGAAAAAGAAGATCCACTTACAGGTATTTTTTTATGGTAGCTGAGTTATAAGACAATTTATTTTGACATCGTCAATTGTCTCTTTGTAAAAGTGGCAAGTTTGAGATCCCATATTTCCATGAGTTTGCAATGTTCTGTTCTTACGAAACTTTGCATATTTACTAAATTGGGCATGATATATTGAGCCGTGAGGCTTATTTTTTACTTGAATCAAAAAATTAGAATAGCATGTGACATCATTGATGTGGTCCATTTGCTCATATTCACGTCCATCAATCAAGCTAAGTTATTGGGCAACTTACGCACAATTCTCATGATAACAATTAGAGAAATAAAAGTACATTTCAGATGTTTCCCAAAATTTGGTGAATCAAAAATGCTGTCTGGCTGTTGTTTCCATAGTTAACCTAAGTTCTCCTAAACGTTCTCAATGGTATCTTAGTTATATACAGAACCAAGGCAACAAGAAGTAAGTGTTAGGTCTCCATGTTAGGTTATAGCAACACCCCTACAGATCCATCAGAAAAAGTCACCACTATCTCCTCTTGTCTCGTCAGGCTTGTTTTCTTTGTTTAAATATCTCTTGAAATATCCCGACAATAAGCCATTCTGAAAAGTGGTAGTGTTTTGTTTTGCAGGATACAAAATTCTCCATATCTTGGAGATATTTCATCTTGAGTTAACCCTTAAGGTAAACTTATTTCATTCTAGAATTGAGAAATTAATCTGATTTTTTTTTTTCGCTACCAAGCTTAAAATTCACCATCTTTCCTTATTTGCCATCAATTTCGTTCTATTGAGAAATGCTAAAATCAGGAGCGCAAAATCATCCTCACAGCTGGTCAATTTGTGCTCAGTCCTTATGAAACACCTGACTGAATAGCCTCAGCATATAGAAGGCGCTGAATATAAAATTCTACATTACTAACAGAATCAGTTGGATTAATTTGGAGTAAAAGCAACACACTGGAGAAAAAGGAGGATGAAATTCACAACAATTTGTTCACTACAAACATGAGAAAGCTATATCACAGTGACACAAGTTACTATTAAAATAAATTGAGAGTTGTCAACAGGTGTTAAAATTCTGTACAACATTTGAGTTATGAGATGATTAGGAGAATTGCAGTAATCTAAGCCTGACTTAGTTAAATGTGACAACCATTTAATTCTCAGTTCATTCCATAACCAGTTTATAAGCCCTGTTTGAGGAGTCACTTGTAAATATTTCATTCCATAACCAGGGAGTCACTTGTAAATATTACAACTGTGCAAGAAGACTTGTAACAAACAGTCTTAAGACTACAGGTGTGTTGGACAAGTGCCATCGTAATTAATGTTCAGTTGACCTTCATCACTATGGCCAGCCTAACGCAAAATTATCTGTCTTCTGTAGAGAGATGTATAATTTTTATTAGACATATGGTTGGGATGAAAAATTCTGGATAGCCATTGGATGGAGGTGACTGTAAGTGGTGGTTTAGCATTATATTGAAATGTATAATAGAAATAAGAGAAAGATATTTTGCTATAATTCCCACCAGTGGTGTATCACAACATTTCCAAAGTTTTAATTAAGCTAACCTCTCCTTCATTGTTCTTCACAGGCTTGCATAGTAAGCTCTTAGTGTGGTAGCCAGTCTGGCGGTCAACCTCTTTGTTGAAGCGTGGGTCCTGTTGACATAAGGAACAGGGGGTACAAAATTCATGAGTCATTGATTTATTGTCGTAAACCAATGAAAAACAATCGTCAATCTGAGCTGATTCTCTGCATGACTTATTCAACAACTACCTAGGCAACATGAAACACATAACATTTGTCTGGTTAAAAATGCTCAAAATCAGATGGTAAAACAAAATTACTCAGTTCCATCAATTTTGACTTGTGCGCTGGTTTGGTTGGTTATGTTTGTCCATTTGGCGAGTGACATTACCTTTCATAAAGTGGACACTGCTTTCTGGAACAAGGACTGTATTATATTTTAATAATGGATTACAAGTTACAAACTTGAAGAAATAAGGTTAATTTTTCCAAGACAATAGCTCTATAAAATGCTCGCACCAAGCGATATTGATGCAAAATGATTGTGAAAAGTTGATTGATCTAGGTCTCAATTTACATTAAAATGTCAGAAATGCTACCTGCATTAAGAGCGAGAATTGTGTCGCACGGGTATGCATGAAATAATTTTACGAATTTTAGAAGCTAGGAAGACCATTTTAATTGAAAGAAAATTACAGCTGTTCTATGCAAAAAAGGGGAAAAGAAATTAAAAGAAAATATTTAACATATTCGATCTCAACCCTAATTACAGTACAAAAAAAGTGAAAAATATGTCCTCGATAAAATGAGAAATTTACCATGTGTAATTTGGACTGTTGTGATAATTTGGAATGTTGTGATAAAAAATACTGTAGAAATGATTTTCAGGGAAAAACAAACTTAAAAAAAAACGTTACACATGCAGAAAAATTTAAAACGCTTTCATCTCCAATACCCAGAGGGAAACTTCTGGCTCTGACGCGGATTGAGGCTAGAACGCAAACCCACAAAAAGCTGCAATCCCAAAATCAGCACTCGCGGGGATTTTGGCTGTCAACAAAGTACTTGGACGCCGATCAGATTAACGCCAAGCGCCTGAAAAAGAAATCCGTCAACATGTACACGCCAACGATGCAGTACCCAGACAGTTTTGTCTGGTTACAAGTAGAGTGCGCTTCACTGATCATCGAACTGACGATCACGAGACAGAACAAAACATAAACTACTATGTTAAAGCCATAACAAACAATAAGCGTCGAGGAGCATTAAAAAGTTCAATTTCATGCAACACCGACGAAACAAAGTTAACACACTTAACTGATCCCCGAGGAACAGTGGGGTTGGAAAAAAAAAGCACCGGATAAAAATAGACAGAATAGATTGCAACGCTGAAAATAAAGTAATCAATTCGCTCGTTGAAGTGAGAAACACGAACATTGTTTTCTCGAGCGTAACTCGATGTAAATTTCGACTTTATAGCTTAATAAGTCCTGGACCGGTTGGAAGCAAGTCGTTGTGATAGCTGTTATATCAAATTTGAGAGAGATTTGATAACTCGAAAGATTTTAAAGTGTTACGTGCTGACAACACGATTTCTCCGCAGATACGAATGAAAATGCTAATGTAAATTTCTAAAGCCTTGAACTCATGATACATCAGCTGGGGGATTTATGTAGAGAGCGTTTGTTTTGAACATGCTAAATATTACTTTCTGAGTGAATTCTTTTCAAAATTCGCAGGATTTTATCAAGGTTAACAAAGTTTTCCGGAAAAATCGAAGAACGCGAATTTTGCACAAAACGTTTAAGTTCTCGTTTGCGTTTCTTTCAATGTGTTTCAGTTGGTAAAATACAAATAAAATGGAACTGAATTAATAGCGAACAAAAATAACCAGCCATCCCACTTCGTTTGATCCGGGCCACCCAATTTAATTTCTGTAAATAGAACACTGGTCTTCCCAGCCTATTCTACTTTTCACAAGTTGCGGGCACCAAACAAAGCAAAGAGTCAAAATTGCATATCCTGTACACGTACAACACAAACTAAATCTGCTCCCTTAAATCGACAGCCCGCAAATCAATTTTGCACGGTGCAAGTACGGGGTATGCGAACGACTTATCAATATTCGAACGCAGTACAGTTGATTGCATGGAATCGAGCGCTTGTTCCGATAATTATCACGTCACCCCTGTACACAACGTGCAAGAAGGCATCGTTTGCAAGGGTCGTTTAATCAACGGCGATTCAAGGGAGCGAATGTGGTTTACATACGCCTAAAACCCCTAATGATTTATTTATACTTAAAACGTTACTACAAACCGCATACGCATCGGGGATGTTGACTGTCTCTCCGGTTTCTGCCGCGTAGCCAACAAGTCCTTTGCCCCAAGGCACTCGAATCTCTCGTTGCTGGTTGATGAAATCTTTAGATGGCGAATTCGGCCCGCCGACTTGCACATCAAAAACCTTTGAAACCAGTGACTGTTTACCTTTAGGTCCCTCCACAAGAAACAATGAGCAGCGATCAGCATTCGTTAGAATCCCAACATTGACTAGTATTTTATAACTCAGAGTTGTCAGGTCGAGATCGTTCGCTATGTCCCGCACAATCTCGAAGAAGAATTGCCTTTCATTGCTGTTTTTTAAATCTAGCTTTGTTTCGGCGTTCAAGCCTATCGGAGACGGTAAGCGAATTTTTGACTCAATTAGCGCCCCCAATACATGCTGTTGTCCGCAATTCGGCAGCGATTTCGTTTTCCGAAGTTGTCGTGGACTTCTCACTCGCCTCGTGTTCTCCTCTCGAATTTCACAAGTACTTAAATCCAGGGAATCAACAAAACTGGAAGATACTGATTTACTTGAAAACTGTTTTCCTCCATAACCTATGCTGAATTGTCGCTTCGGATGCCCTTGGCGCTGCGGTTCGGAATACCTGCGCGTTATAGGTGATGGCCGAGTTCCTGAATCACCCGCTTCCACATCGTTCGAATTTATAATGTCCACCGTGTCGTTGAAACGAAAATTCTTTGGTCCAAGATTTTGTTGATCGCAGTTCTTAATGAGCTCAGAGTTCGTGTCGAAGACATCGGTACACTCTTCTCTCGCTTCATTCCATAGATGAACCATACGCACAGTGCCTTTACGCACAAAGTATTCCTCAGCCTGTTCTGGATGGTCATCGAGCCACTGTTCGACCTGGGCGAACGATAAAGTCATTGTTTAGCCATACTTTTTGGTCAACTCAAACCAGGCTGCCCACACATCATGCTAAAAGTTGAAAGATTCCCCGCTCTACCCGGCCAGCCTCACTTTGTCATCAGGAGTGCGATAAAGCTCAGTCGATCGCGCATGTAACTAAGAGTGTAAACAAACAGAATTTTGGCTAAACTAGCTGGACGATTCCGCGCCGTGTAAGACTACAGATATCTGTGCGTCCCACAGATGACGGTATGGCTATCAATCTTCAACTCGAATCAAATGCTGCTAAATCAGGCTCTTGTACATGTAATATTATATCACAGCACTGTTACTCCGATCTGATGATAAAGCCAGGCATGCAATGAGCAACGATACAATGTATAGACTATGTCACGATTCGCTTGTTCAACCGCAGACCGCTGCAGGACATTGATTGAGCCTTTGTAGTTTACTCGCCTCGCTTGGTCGACTTGTTACACACGATAGGGTTTCCACTGATCGCGAACGCCCCCGAAATACCGCTCAGAACATTGATAATTTGTATTTAATATCGTTCTGTTCTAATAACAGCGACCCCGCCAACCGCTTTAGAAATATAAAACAGAGAGCTGATTTTAATTTCACTGCGGTTGTTGTGGTCATGTGAGAGCCACTGAGCCAATCAACAAAACGATTTCGCGCAAAATCGCAAATTTGTGAAATACACATTGCCCAAGCTGGTTTACAATAACTTGATAGGCAAACGGGGAGCAGAAGATACGAGTCATTTGAAGTTTCCAGCTGGTGAAAAAGATCCTATCTCCCTTCTTTGTGTTAGTCATTCTGCATTTCGTGTCCGTCTTTTGTAGAACCGATGTCACGCACTTTGTTAGATCTTTGGTGATAATTCTGTAATAATTCGATACTAATAATTACACGAACTTATTTAACATTTTCTGTGCTGTACACGACCCTTACTTTTGGCGGACGTCCGGTTCTTTCAAGGTAAAAAATCAATCTTTTCAGTTTTATTTCAATTTGTTTCATTTCGGCTTCCTTCTCTTTTCTTCCTCCACTTTAATCAGCTTGTATTTCTTTGCATATTCGACACAACGCGGTCTAAATCTGCTGTAAATTTAATTTGAAATTGAATTTGCAGCTGCGCTGCCCATCAGGAGTGCTAAGGGTGGATCTAAAAGTCAGACCCATTTCATCTGATTTCACCGGCACGGGTATAAATTCCAGCGAGTTTCCTCGACATATAAACATTAAAATGATACAGGAAAAATATCTTATCTTTGAGACTTTACTAAAACGGAATTAGTGTTTCAGACAGCCAAATCTGGAAAATTTGCTTGTTTCTTGGGCTCGCGCAAAATTTAAAAACGGTGACACTGATATTGTTCCTTTATACGCTAGTATGGCTGGACTCAATCTCATATCACCTAGTTTATGTGCGAACAGCCGATCTCCATGTCTTCACAAAATCACACAATAAGCGGCTTTTACCGGTTCTATCGGTTCATATCATCTTGCTCTAAGTAAAAGCGCATTAGGCTAGCATGTGCCACTCACCACAGATCAGTGGATTCCGTGTCAATTAGTGACATTTTTAATAGTCTCAATTGCAGTCCACCCGCTTCTTTGCGGCTTTCAGGCTGGCCGACTGGGTATCAGTGTCAAGTGGCCTTAAATTTTAACATCAGCAGATATCACGCGAAGAAATGTTTCACTGTCAAAAGTCAACGGAGTATTAAACCGATTTATCGGATGAAGATAACTTGCCAAAAGACAACTGAAATTACTTTGAATCCAGAAACACTTATTTTTGAACGCTCCACCGCGGACGCTCCAAACCAGACCATCCCGACCGCAAATGTAGAAGTATCGCCATGTTTACTAGATGACCCTGCGTGTTATCTTGATACGCATCACAGCATTTGCTCCTCTTAGCTATTTCAGGAGAAATTACGAATGGAATTTGCATGTAAACCCTTTAAAAGATACTCAATGGGCACGATACGTCTGTGTAAATCACACCGAGGCTATTCATGTAGCTAGCACACCGTACACGACCAAGCCACAGAGTAACTATGCTCCGAGTAAAGCCCGTAGGGATTGTGTACTGACTGTCCTTATGAAGCCGGTAACGAGTACTTTAGGGCTCTCGCATCCCACTTAACAGCTTAATGTTCTGACAAGTTCCGGGGACAAGTTGTCCGCATCGCATGCCATCTCTTCTTTCGTGGTGAATTTGATACCTCACCAATTTCACGAAATTTTCGAGACCTTTCGAGGTATAAAACTTTTAAAATCACCAAAAAAGTTTGATGTCGTGGAAAAAGAAGGCGGCTCAATTTTCAACAAATTAATTCAATCAAGTGTGGTGAAGTAGTCGCGCTTCTCAAATCAAGTGAACACTGACGGACTAGGACTGCCCCTCACCACGTTCTCGAGCCGGGCTGTCTTCTCACGCTCACTGCACTGCTATTGCTGGGTGTGCTGATCATAGAGTCAAGGCACGCATCTGAAATTATTTTCAAGTTTTGCCTTGTTTGAAATTGTCCTTTAAACCATGGAATTTATCTATACACTGTATGAATGAGCAAAATCTATTGATATCAGTCAATATTAGCTCAAATTGCGTTCAGGCGTTCTCTTTCATGGCGTCGTCGCCGTAAAAAAGAACACGAAATCGGCGGTTGATAAGCAACCACACTGAGTGAGGGATAATTTCCTGATCCCTTATGGAGCAGACAATAGGTGAGGTTGAATTGTCCACTGAAATGAATGCCACAAAGTAACGAGTGCGTAATCATCCTTGGGACTGTAAATATAAAATCTGTTTTTCGTTTGAATCTGGTAAATAAACTCAGGATGAAAACGAGCATTCAGTTTTCAGAAATTGATCGAATCGTATAAACCCTAATAACACAAGACTCCAGTTTCCGAGGAAGGGGTTTAGAGCGTTTTCGCACCGCTCCCGAACTAAACGTGAACAAGAGGCTAGCAGAGCCTGCTGGTGGGAATTTCGCGCTGGAGTGCGACCATTCTCCTCGCGACCTCGAGACTCCGCTACTAAAACAAAACACTCGGGCCAGAAATCTCGTCTGCTACGCAGGTTATTGTCAGTATTTTTGACGACAGTTTTCAGCATATCTCATTAACTATCGGTCAAACGGTGCGTCCACACTACGCTGTAGAAATTTGAAAATGCAATTTTTTTTTCTACTGTTAAGCCTACTTTCCACACTAATTCGGAGGAATTGTCCGCCGAAAACGGAGTTTTTTTAAATCGGAGGAATTTGAAAACGTCGGCTTTGCATTTTAGTGTGGACGGCATATTTTGAGAACGGAGCCTCTCGAAAACGATGACGTCATGTGACTAACCCTAACCCTCTGGCGTGCGTAGTGCGGACGTCACGGGACCTGAGAGCACGCTAGTTAATATATATATATATATATATATCAATGATCAGGACAACTTTTGTCGACTACTGCATAGTTTGAGTATATTGAAAATTAATGAAAGCGCAGAGCGAGTGGACAAAAGTGGATGGAGGATTTGAGCTGGCGATTAAACAAAAGCGAGAGTTGAAACTTTCGTCGACACTTTTTCTGGAGTTTTCTGTCATCACAGCATTGTAGGGGGTGAATTCGACGAAGAAGTGTACTGAGACACTTGGAAAATTTACATTAACCTGTTTACAATTACATGTCAGATTACCTTGAACTTCCAAAACTCCCCAGGCGTTTCCATGACAGATGTTTAAAGCATGGAAAATGCTTTAAAATGTGTGCTAGCAAAACTTAATTTCTGTCATGTGTAGTTGAAAACTGGAAACAAAAGAGCGGCTGTATACATGGTTCGCAGTTTTATCAGCAATGTGTAAATCGTATGCCAAGTTTCTTGCCTGTAAAAAATAATCAAGTACTATTATTAAAATTTACTAATATAAGCTACAAGAATCAACTGGTTTATATAATTGCCGTTTGGCTCAAAAAGGAAAGTGGGCTTTGATATTCTTTTTGGAAACCCTAAGAGAGTGACATTGTCCAAGACCCTGAGGCAAAGAATTCCATAGAGTAGCGTCACTATAGGAAAAGCTGCCCTCGTGAGTACATGTTCCCTGTTCTGGGAACTTAGATCGTATATAATCGAGTTTTTTTAAATCATAATTTGTATCGTATACATATAATGTATTTCAGTTTTGAGTGTACTGACTTGGGGCGCAATCTGTACTGGTCACGCAGAAGATTTTCGGCGTGGAGATTTGATTTTTTGACCACAATCCTTTCAACTTTTTTCCTATCTTCGGCATGATCATGAGCTTCTATTAGTGGAATGCACTTTGGCAAGATTCAGAGATTTTAAACTGAATGTAGCGACCATGGTCAAAATCGATCGAATGTAATGCAACCACCTTAGTGTTTGTAGCCCGGGGAGGGCGGGGGCTCCCATATTACTATAACTAGGACGGGGGTGCTCGTCGAAGGGAAATTTTGAAAAGAATCCTTTAGAGGTACCAAGATCCTGCTTTGTGGGTGTGGCTTGGAATTTTCGTTATCCCTAAGAGATACCAATTCTAAAACAACACGTTATCTCCTGTCATATTTTTTCAGCTCAATCCCCTAAAACGTACCGTAAAAGTTCCCGCTGTGGACCTTTTGAGGCTGAACACCCAACAGGTACCAAAACCGCTTTTTAACCCCTGAAAAATATGGCGAGCACCCCCCGTCCTTTTTATATGAGAGTCCTGCCCGGGATTGGTAGTTATATTTGGACAGCTATTTAGACCCCCGGAGGCTAGTCTCCTCCGCAGCCGTTTTTTGGGATGTCNCGTGACATCCCAAAAAACGGCTGCGGAGGAGACTACCCGGAGGCGGGAGCGTCTTTTGTTAAGATCAGACCTGTTACAAACTTGAAGTGTGAAACTTAAAACCACTAAACACTTAGTGTTACGATGACGGATAGTTTGATATATATGACGTTGTCCTGACGTTGCAACGACGTGAAAATAAAATCAATTAAAGGACGTCATAACAGTGTCAAATTGTGTGATAATAACACTGAAATAGTAAACAGCAGAATTGTGCCTGTTTCTTTAATTTGTCTTGTATCATTAATAAAAATAATAAAAACGTGACCTCGAATTCAGGATGAAAATAATAGATAAATTTAGCCAAGCCTAAAAGCGGAGCTCCCATGAAATACCAATCATTTCAAAACAAAAATCGACCAGTAAGCATTCCACCAAAGTGAATGACTTGATTAAATAAAACGAGTAAATCTCCATAAACTCTATCCAAATCACTATGTGCAAGTGTTAAATTATGGGTGCGATCCATTGAACCAAAATTTCCGGGCTGAGGATCGAAAATTTCTCGAGGGCGAATTAATCGCGTCGGGTCCGGAAGGTCCCGTTCCATTCCACTCGCAAAAAGAGTTTCGCGCTCATTTAAAATGGCGGGATGTTGGATCACTGTTGCTCTTGTTAGAGTTGGATGACGATTTCGACTTTATCAATGATATTGTGCGAGCTGTTTCATGCGTAGAAATTTAACTCGTATAAAGGGTTATTTTCAGCAGACCGTTCTCATATATTTGGTGGCTGAGTTCGAAGATCTTCAAACACCACTTTCAAATGAGGAAAAGAACATTCGAAATGCTCTCGAGAAATAGACCGTTTTTAAACAGCCAAAACATACATTGCGTAACACAGCTACCTGACTGTTGTTACTGCACATGGATGTGCGAGTAACACCGATAAATCCGTTGTTATAACAATCCATAAAAACTGCAATGATCAGTGTTTTCCTCCATGTTGAACATGGAAAGTACAGAACGGCGAGGAACTGGGATTGAGAATGGATCGGAAAGGTCAAATTTCGATCGGACCGGTCCAACCGATCAAAGCGGTCCACCTCGAAAGGTGGACCGACTTTTTCGAAGCTTTTCCGGTTGAACCGAGCCGATCGATTCAATTTTGGTTGAATAGATCGCGTTCTAAATCAAATCCTGTTCGCTTTCAAGCATAATTTTTTTCAAAGACGTGCGGCACTGTTTTTCTGAAGCTTAAACTGATTGAA